GCTCAGGCTGGTCTCAAACTCATGAGCTCAGGCAATCCTCCTGCCTCAGCCTCCCAAGTAGCTGGGACTACAGGCACCTGCCACAATGCCCAGCTCATTTTTCTATTTTTAGTAGAGAGGGGGGTCTCACTGTTGCTCAGGCTGGTCTCCAACTCCTGAGCTCAAGTGATCCTCCAGCTTTGGCCTCCCAGAATGCTAGGATTACAGGCGTGAGCCACCATTTCCTGCCTCAGGTTGACCTTGTTATAACATCTTGAAATAGCACTATTTAAGGAAATATTTTTAAGGTTTACAGAAAACACTTTCAAAAGCCAGTGTGTGAATGCTTTTAAAGACATAACTTACATGAAGAGTTTGATAGTAGGCTTCTTTCATCTCTTCACTACTGAGCTTCACTTCTTTTAATTTAGGGGCTGGAACTTGATCATGACCAATGAAAGACATAACTAAAATGTGTTTCTTGAGTAGTACAACAGTTGGACAAGGAATTCCAGCTTTCTGCATTCTACACAGAAAGAAATGATTAAGAATGAAAAGATCAGAAGGAGAATATATGTCATCAATTCAACAAGTATCTGCAATGAGCTGGTCCTATGTTCTACTCTGAATACATGGGAATACAAAGACAGTGAGACACACTCTCTGCCTGTAAGGAACCCAGAGACTGGTGGAAATGACAGACAAGTCAGGAGACAATCAGAGTGCAGTGACATCCACACGGGCAAGGGCGTGGGTGGGAGCTCTGGGCGTGCACAGTACCCAGGAAGGCTTCTTAGAAGAAAGGTAGGAATTAGCCAGATGAAGACAGTGGGAGGAAATGTGCTCAAGAGCACAATCCATTTGGGAAAGGTAAATCAATTAACAGACAGACAAGCCCCATATCACAACAGGCCTTTGAATTCACACTAAAGACGATGGAAAGCTGCTGAAGAATTTTAAGAAAGGCAGGGGAGTAAGATCTTAGTAATATAGAGACCAGAGGACAGCAAGGTGTCTTAGGAAATTATTCTACATGGAAGTTCTAAGTCGAAGAATTCTACAACTAATATAGATGGATAATTACTTTTCAAAAAAACATCTTTAGAAAAGAATATACTAAAATTAAGTTTCAGAGTAAGGTAATAGGAAGGGTTATTATTAAATTTCTTGATTGATAGAACAAATTCTTTGATAGAAAATAAATCGCTAAGAAAATTGAAAAACAAATCTTAAAAATTAAAGCAAAATACATCTGGAACCCATAACAAATTAACTAATTAGGTATACTAAACATTTTTTCAAACAAAAAGAGAAATCATATTTTATACTAAGCTTAACTGAATGCTGCAAATTTCATTTCCAGAGAAAGACAATTTAAAAGATAGCACATCTTAGGCAGAAAATACCTTAGTTTCCCTCACACTTCAACTGATGAAAGAAAAAAGAAAATGGCTTTTTCATCATAAAAGTATGAATTCAGGTTATATGAGTGGCCTTTCATGATTTCTATAAGTGAATTTAAAAGAATGGAATTTTGTGTCCCAATACAAAAATGTATTTATCTAAGATTATTTCTAGCACAATTATTTTCTTTACCTTGTGAGATTGTGCATTTCTTTTTCTGCCCACATGCGGATGATCTTACGTGGATTTAGTTTACTGAAGCGATCTTTAAACCTGAAATCATCTTTAATATATTTGTCACGATTCTTAAACTCATTAAGGGTTGTTTTAAATACCTTGATGGCACATTCTGTAGGTATAACTTTACTATCTTCCTTTTCGTCCTCCATGCTAAGTAGAAGAAGAAAAATTAAGTCAGTACAAGTTGTCAGCTTACAAGTAAAACAATTTCATAATAAAGATTCTGTAACACTAAACTACATCTACTGTCTCTAAGAGTCTCAAGTCTTGCCTTGGTTTCCTAAACCTTTAAGTTCTGAATATTAAAAAAGTTTTTGGTTTGATTTTTTTTTTAAATAAAACAATTTCAAATAAATTGTCAACCAGTTTTGTACAATCCATAACATAATGTTTTTACTTAATGACTACAGAATCAAGCTTGAGATACAATGAAGACATATATACTTTAAAATAGGCTATAGTCTACCTGGGATGGTTCTGGGGCAAAATTTAATAAGAGCAACAAATAGAACAGCTTATTTGAAAAAGAACTCTTTTATTCCTAGTGGATATAAATGTGAGTAAAGGGGTCGCTGCTCTTTGACTGCAAGGAGGGGCAGGAGAGAATAAAAGTATTAACAGTACACGAACAGGACAGGCCTCTTTTGACTGGAAAGGTCAGGCAAGGCTTTGCAGCACAGGCAGCAACTAAAACAGAACCAGGACAACAGGTAGTAGTTGAACAGTATTAACAAAAACAGAGGTGGTAACTACAGGACATATCTGAGGAGCAAGAACTATACTTTAAACTGGCTGGACAGAGGGAATGACACAAGTCAGAGACAAAGGGAAGAGAAAGGCACATCTGTGAAGAGCCTGGACAAATTCCCAAAGGTGGTGGATTGGGTTTCTGATCATGGCACTCTCAAGAGACACACTTCATGAAGATCAAACGAGATGAGATAAGGTCAGGAAGGAAGGGTGCAGGGACGGACTAGAGGTGTGGGGCTACTCAGGACACTACTGGAGCTACTAAAAGGGCTGCAATCTGGCCAGGCACAGTGGCTCTTGTAATCCTGTAATCCATGCCTGTAATCCTAGCAATCTGGGAGGCTGAGGTGGAAGGATTCCTTGCACTCAGGAGTTCAAGGCCAGCCTGAGCAAAAGCAAGACCCCATCTCCACTAAAAATAGAAAAATTAGCCAGGCATTGTGGCAGCACCCGTAGTCCCAGTTATCCAGGAGGCTGAGGCAGGATAGCTTGAGCCCAGGAGTTTAAGGTT